ACTCTTTTTCACACACACACACATCCACTTTGGTTTTCTCCTTTTCCTCCCTCATCCTCCTCCTTCCAATTTGTCCTGTCACAAGAATAGAGCAGAGGGACAGATGTAAAGGGACAGGCCAAAAAGACAGAGATGGAGGCAGAGACAGATGAAGAAAGGAGGAGACAGCGGGGCTCAGTCCTAATCTGTCGACAAGAGTGGATGCTTGAGGATAAACAGAGGCTGAGTGTGAATGCTCAGGAAGCTGAGAGAGAGAACAATGTGAGGTCCTATTGGATTGAGTCTCCGCTTCAGCGACAACCCAGCGGCACCGTCAGTGTTTGATGGTTTGCACCACCCAAAGTGGGCTCCAGGGACACACAAGATCTCTAAACACTAAGTGAAAGACAACTGTACTTGCTTTAGATTCTTCGGAATGAGAATGTCTCTCATCCAAAGCATCTTCAGCATAAGAGTGATCACACAGTTTCTAGTAAATTCAGCTGTTGCTCACTTTGTTTGGGAAATCCACTATAGCACTGTTTGATTAGACTGGCTCATGGCTCTGTTGACTGCTCCTCACTGCCAGTGTGTTAATGCCTGAGACTGGAAGACTTGTTGTAATATTCCACAGCTGTACAGTTCCTCCTCATGAATCGCTTCCATGTAGCCCTGTGTGTGTGTTTTTTTGTTTTTTTTTTTGTTATCCGAAAGTATTTTCAGTCAAAACATTCACTAAAACAGGGAGTCGAGTCAAGACTAATCACTAATAATGCAGGACCTGTTGTATTTCAGGTCATGTAGCAACCGATAATGAAAAACAAATTTGCAATTAATCAAATTACCACCAACAAAACAAAAGCACTTGGGGCTTCCAGGTCTGAGGTAGGTGGCCACTTTGTTTTTATCACCATATGATATAGACTTACCTCTTGGTTTTCTGCACTTAATCCAAAGTTAAAAACTGTTAATCAAGGCCCCAAAGTTTGATTTTGCACTATCACTGTTGTGCAGTATGCTAAGCACCTGATTAGCTGATCTTCTCTGTGCTGGATTTTATCATCTGAAGCACAACTGATGAGCATTTCTTGCATGAGCGGCCTCGAGATGAATAAACCCCCCAACCTTGGTCATTAATGCCCCACACTGTACTGATCGTGCTATAAAAGCAAATATTTAAAGGTTGTCTGACTCTGTTGCTCTAATTGGGTGGTAAAAAAATCTCTTTCAACAAAAAAAAAAACAAAGCTCTACTCTCAGATGAAGATAATTAAAAATGGCATGACAAGTCTAGTTGAGAAGCTGATCTGGGGTTCAAACAACAATGGCAGCGTAGTTAGGTGTGTGTGTGGGCCTCATCCCAAACTCTCCTGTACCTGACAGATACAGCCTAATAGAGAGTGTCGACTGGTATTAGGGCAGACACTTTTCAATCTGGATGCTGTGTCAGTCTGAGTAAGGCAGGAGTAGTGGGAGGGAGGGGAAGAAGAGGAGGAGGAGGAGGAGAAGACATGCAGAGAACTAGCAAAGAAAATGAAGGAGTCGATGAGGTGAGAGAAGAAGAAGAGAGGATGAAGACAGCGGAGTGAAGAAGGGTCAAAGAAGAAAGAAGAAGGGAGATGCAGTGAGGGCAGGAATGAAATGCAGAGGAGGAAAGTGAACTAACAGGAGCACAGGATGAGGACAGCAGGGCTGGGGAGTAGAGATTGATGTGTGAAGAGAGCTGGAGCAAGGGAGCAGAAAAACAGAAGATAAGGAGACAGAAGAAGAAAACATCAATGGAAGAGAGGGGAGAAGAAAATGGAAGGGTAGAAGGGATTCAGAATGAGAGAAATATGAAGGAGATACAGCTAAAAGAAGAGAAAAGGAGGAAAGAAGTCTGAGAGGGAGGACATCAAAAGAGTGAAGGAGGTTGCATTAGAGGCAGGAGGAAAATAGAGAAGAGGTGTGCAGAGGAGTGGGAGTTAAAAGGAGTGAAGAAGAAGAGGGCTGAAGATGGAAAAAGAGAGGAGCAGATGTGACGGGAGGCGAAACGGTTGATAAGGAACAGGTTAGAGGAGTGAAGACGGGAAACGAAGAGGAACAGCAGCTAACAGGAGTGAAGCAGGAGGAGAACAGGGCTGGGGAGCTGAGATTTATGTAGAGAGAGGACTGAAGCTGTAGGGGAACAGGAAAACAAAGGAATGGATGAGGGGAGAGATTTGGGATGGAAGAAGCTTGTAGAGCAGTGAAGGAGTGAAGTGAAAGAGGAGGAGAGGAAAGGTGAGGGAGCAGAAAATAAATTTGGAGGAGGAAGAAGGCAACAGAGGAGGCGGGAGCTGCAGTAGCATGGATGAGGGCAGGAGTGATGGCGGAGGAGGAGGAGAGCAGGGTTGGGGAGCAGAGATTTATGTGTGGAGAGGGTTGCAGTAAGGGAGCAGAAGGAAACCACCAGGCCTATTATAGATGGGGCTCTCCTGGGAGAGCGGGGCCCTGGAGTTTTCCAGGCATCTCCAGCATATTTCACCGCCGTTCGGAGCAGCATGCTGCAATGCACAAAGCACCGCCCTCGAACGAGTCCTTGGCCCTCCAAGGATAAATAAAGTGGGTCTCCTTTCTCCGCATGACTATTCAATAAAAGTGATAAAAGGCTGGAAGTAACCCTTCCTAGCTTTTTTGGAAGGAGAAACCAAACTGGTCACTCTCTCAGAGGAGAAGCGTTCATAGAAAGGCAGGCATTAGGCATAAAAGCTCCAAAAGCATAAAATTGTTTCCTTTTATATGAAGAAAAATGTCAACAAACAAGGCAGCGAGATCAAATAAGCTGAGTGTGGAGGTAGTTTATGTTTCCGCTCCCCTCGCTCTGTTTCTTTGTCTGCCTGTGTTTTCTCTCGCTCTCGCTCATGTGTGGAGGTGAGAGAGAACAACTGAATGGGCCTCCCACATAAAATCCATTCAGAGACATCTTAAGGAATAAGAATGAGAAATTGTCCGACGCAGTGAATTAAATCAATCTGATCCATTACAAGATCACTATCACAAGGTTTTCCCTTTTGTCTTTGCCCTGGATTATGCTTGCTGCTGGATATGTGTGTGTGTGTGTGTGTACACTTAATGCATCACACATAGCACTATATGTAATCAATGAAACAGTTACTCAATTAAGTGATTACTTGGCTGACAAACTGCTGAATTTATACAGTTTTAATAAGTGATTAGGTCTGCGTACTGTACTACTAGGGTTAGGGTTAGGGTTAGCGCTGGCCATATCAAAATGGTTCTCCACCACCGGTACTAGGCAACAGAACCATGAGGAAGCTTTATGAGCGGGCTGTGTGTGCTGCATCTGATCCCCATCATACCAATTTTGAATGTATTGTATATCTTAGAGAAAGAAAAATGAATGAATAAACTGAAAGTTGCTTTGGAGGAAGGAGGGCAAATAGTCCCTGTTATAATATGCAAACATATGATAAACCTTTATTTAAGTCAGCTGGTCCACAAGAATATTGTCAAAATAAAATGATCTGCATTGACAAAATGGTTGTACACCTCATTGGTTATACTGTATACACATATCATTTTATTTCAAGTCATTTCTTTCATCATCGTCTAACCAGGCAGTTTTCAATTCTATTAACGCAGCATATCTTATTCAAACTTCTGCTAAAGTAAAAGTTTGTAATATTTATTGCTTTCTCTTTCAAAAATCCAGTGCATGACAATCATATTCCCAATTTTATATGCCCTACAGAACCAGTATCCACTGGCTCCTCTTTCACTTAATTTCACATTTAGTACGTTCCAGTCTTTCCCTCTGAGGCTTATCAGAAACTGAACTTGTGTAACCAAATGATTTTATTGCATGAGCGCATGACTAGGACCTTCTTTTTTTGAAGTCTCAGTATATCCCCCAATCCCTTTTATTTCTTTTCCTTTGGTGGATTTGAAACAGTGATAAAATACGAAGCACCGATTTAAAGATGGAGATGGACAACATGATTACAGATGATGAAAGCCCGTATCCATCACCACCCACTCTGTTTGTGTTTCCATCCTCCTTCTGTGTCCGTCTATCTGCCTGTTCCTCCTCTCTTGCCTCTTATGTTTTAATGTAAGTCGATAACTATCAGGGACTGATAACACATTCGGCTTGGTGAAGCTCGAGGAGGCGAAGAGAGGAGAAGGTGAGAGCAGGATTGGGTGGTGGTGGGGGTGACAGTATCTCCCCTCAGTGAAGCCCGTTATGGCTGGGTGACAGGGAGATAAGCAAGCGGAGGTAGCAGCGAATAGGGACAGGGCAGTGACGTCACAGTACTTGTTCCTATAGCGGTGAATGAAGCTATAGCGTCACAGGTGGAGATTATGTCAGAGTGAGATTTGTCATTGTTCTGAAAAGGAGATCAGACAGTGAGTGTGTGTGGTTTTGTGTTATGTGTGACTCCACATTTATGGAAGCAATCTACCTTCATTTCTGTGCCACAGATGGCATTTCTACTTGTCACAGTTGGAAAAGCACAGGTGTTAATAACATTAAAGACTGCTACGACTGCTCAGTTCCAAATAGGCTATAATGCGAAGCTGACATCACGCCATGTAGAAATTTGGGTAAATGTACCATGTTTGGAGCATCACGTTCATTATCAAGCAACGATACCTACATTAATCAGGCCTACATATATATTGTAAGTTAATCAAAAAATAAATACTATCCCATACAGTAGTGGATGTGTCAACTATGGATCTAGGTCCACTCCAAGGTAGCTACAGTCAGCTAAGGTTATCCATCTTTAATTACCACCATGAGGTAAAGTAAGATCTAAACGATTTAACCAACGCTTTAGCCAAATAAATCGAGAGTGTATGGAGATAAATACAGGGCGGCCCTCTCCCAACATTTAACGTGGCGTGACAAACTTACAGTATGTACTTTACCTCACACTGAGAACTGAACTGGCAACTCATCCAGTTGGTGGCGGTAATTCACCAGTTCGTTGTTAGCCAACCGCGATTAGAGTTGGGGAGGAGAAGAAGAAGAAGAAGAAGAAGAAGAAGAAGACGACTACAAAAAAATGAAAATGATGAAGAAGATAATCATCATCATGCTCATGATGTGGTGACTCCGACTTGAACATTGGCTAATTTCTGTGCTGCTGGGGGATTTTACTTTTTAGTTCCGCGAGTGGCCACTGGGAAAAAAATGGCTGAAAGACTTCCAGTGTGAGGATTGCGCCATCTTGTAATCCTGGTAACCAGGTCTGAAAATACATCCATGTGTTGTAGGGTAGACGGAACCCTGTAAAGAGTTTGGGAAAATGTTAAAAGACATCCCCAGTCAATCATGTCCAACTTCATCCAGAGATGTCAGCATTGCAGGCAGCCTGCACAGGTAAGGTAGCTACTTTAATCTGGAGTTTACAAAAGGTTACCGTTAATGTCACTGTTGTTAGCTAACAGGATGTCAGGTGTGTGGGAAGTGTTGAGCTCGTTACCGTTCTGCTGTTCTTTAAGGCTATAAGGTTGTTCAGGGTGATATGTTTAACACTTTGTGACAACTTGTCTGTGGATCTTCTGGCTCATGGTCATTGATTTAATAAAACTGTTAATGATGCAGTGTTGATAATGTTAGCGAAGTTTTGCACTTCGTCTCCAGTTTGTCCCGGAAGTAGCCCAATACCTGTACTATTTAGACTCAGTCTGATGGTCTGTGACAGCCCACGGGGGCACAACCCACTGTAACGTTAAAGTAATTAGTTTATATGGATTGAGCATCCATGTTTTAGCCATTTGTGTTACATTTGACTTGTTTTGCATCTATTTGTTGTTGTTTTGGAATATTTGGGATTTTTGTAGTCATTTTGTTGTTTTTGGAGTCTTTTCTGTGTTGTTCTACTTTTTTTTCTACAATTTGTGGCTTTTTGTAGGTAGTCTTTTTGTAGCCATCTGACTCTCTCTCCAACAGAATGGTTAACATTAGTTAATAGCTCTTCATTGTTCTTTAGTCTAGGGGCCCCCTGTCCCCTTGGGACCTTGGTCCTGTGCCTGGTAGACTTGTTTGTCTATGTGTACAGTGGATATAATTCAAAAAGAGAAAATTCTCTTAGGATAGATATGTAAAGTTGGAGACATTGGAGTCTTCAGACTTGACTTGGACTCGATAGACTTCAGACTTGCATTTTGTGACTGTTCTATTCCATTGTTTTAGCACCATGCAGAAGACCAGAGCTCTGTACCATGAAGTGAGATTAGTGTGTTATTCAGCTAACCTGGGATCAACTCAGGTTTTTCAGTTCCATGAAACTGGCACACTTTTTCACTCAACCAAGTAGCTTTATTGCTAAAGGCTAACCGAATAGGTTTTTTGATAACTGTGATAGTTTCATAATCGAGTTCTGGTATGCTTGCTGTCATATTTCCATGATGGCAAAAATCTGTAAACCTTGCCAGTGTTACGTATGTTGTTGAAGTTCTTGAAATTCCATCTGCCAATGTGGGAGCGCTCTTTCAGGAGATGCTTCTATGGGTTGTATGAGCAGGAAGGGACAAATGAATATATGGGTCATATAGGTTTGACTATTTGTGAGAGAGAGAGTGTTGTCATAGGGAAGAAAAAGTGTGTATTTGTATGGTATATTTCTTAACAAAAGTAACAGTGTTGCTATTAAATGATATGTATTTGTGTGTGTGCAGCAGTGAGACTGATGACTGGATGGTGTTGGGGGTTAGCTAACAGGGATGAAGAAAGAGATTGTAGGTGTGTGTGCAAATTCACAATATACAGCGAGGGACAAAGGAAAACAAAAGAGTAGGTCTCCTGGCTTGTGATTGAGGCAAACCGCAAAAGAGAGAGAGGTGGGGAGAAGAGGGGGCGATGGGCAGAGCAAAAGAGAGAGGAAGCAAGGGAGCAAAATTGAGCATGGTGGGGAGAGCAAACGAAAAAGATAATTTCTTAGCTCTTCTTTTAAATAAGTCTGTTTCTATAGCAACCATTCAACTAGCCACTGGGGAGTGAGAGAGAGGGGGAAAGTGAAGGTGCACAAGAGAGAGGAGGAGGGAGAGAGAGTGAGAGAATGTTACCATAGCAACGGAGGAAGAGGGAGGAAAGGGACTTGGAGAAACTTATAAAAAACATATAGGAAGAAAATGTAAAAGGCAAGATAAGCAAAGAGAGAGTGAATTTACGGTACTGCAGTGAGGGGTAATCAGGCAGAGTTGGGCAAGTTAATTAAAAATCTGATTAATTACTCATTCCTCATTGGAAAATGGTTATATTGCATTTCTTAGAGCTGAGGATAGGGATGGGGTTTGATAGCATTTTATCAAATCTGAAACCTTTCAAATCCCTTATCAAATCTAAAATTTGTTAGCTTAAAAAAGTTTATTTCTCTTAGCACAATAAAAGAAGTTATAATTGTTTTTTGTAAAAAAAAAAAAAAAAAGATTTAAGATTCTTACTTTTTCTAATCACCTTAACATATTCAGTCATTTTAATTGTGACTCTAGATCATTCACAGTCTGACACAGAGTCAGTAGCAGTCCTTTTATGAAATAAAATCAAGTGATGTATTATTGCGGCAGCTGGATCTTGTAAACCAAACAAGACACACTCACAGTGGAACATCAGGGCTTTAGTAGCCCCTGGCCAGGTTGAACCTTCTCTGTTTGGTGGACAGGTTCTCGGTACTGGACCAGTTGAAACAGGTATTCCCCTGACCACCGGGGGCAGTAGGGAACAAAGTTCTGTTTGACAAAACAGAGCGAGGAAGAAAATGTGAAAATACACTAGGACAAGCCACATAAAGGTGAGATTGTGTTTTCCAAACATCATGGTCTACTTTTTCAAGAGAAAATTTTTAAGGGTGGTTACATAGTGGTTGGTTTTGCGTATATGCATCCAGTTTGTTTGCCCACCTTTGTTAAAGTGTGGCACACAGCTGTGTGTTGACTGTTTCTGTGAGACGTATCCAGGACCGTCTCAGTCCTAAATGGGTCTAGTATTGCCTTCGTCCTACAATATTTTCAAGTTGTGTGTTTCACTTTCCTCCCTTCCCCTGTAATTTGTTGGAACGGGAATACTGAAATACTGCCCTAAAGTTGACAGTGAAGCATCCGCTATGTCAGTTTCAAATTCTACCACCTGGATGCAGTTATACCATTGACTGTATATAAAATATGGACAAACCCTCCATGATGTCACCCATTACATTAGTTTTCTGAGGAGCGGAACTTTTGGTCGCAGTATAATGTAAATCAGCGAGTTATAAAAAAATTCACCCCCGCACAGTAGTGGTGGAAGGGAAAATTAGACCAAAAACCATTGTTGTATCAGGCTATAAACATGTTTTATTTCTGCTGTAAAGTTAGTCATTTTAACATGGGAGTCCATGGGGATTGACTTCTTTTAGAAACCAGCCTCAGTTTGAGGAACTGCGGGTTTTGGCACTTCGACATTGGCTTTATTTCTCAACCTTGGAGGTTGCTGCTTGAGTTATACTATCGAAATAACCATATGCAATATGGCACACCCCTAAAATGTTGAAAACACATTACAAGGATTAGCAACACTTGCTGAATTTCAATCACCTTTCATTACTGAAAGAAAAAAACACATTTCCATACCGCGCAACCTTGTAAGTGAGAGCAAGCAGGGTAATATGGCTGCACTGTGTAGAGCAGATAGAGAGAAATATGAGCTGCAGTGATAATAGTGCGTAAGGCTGCTGCCTGATTGTCCATTCACAGCTCTTGACCACACATGACCTCCATCACTGTGTGCAGAGGGTGAGTGAGCAATGGGAAACATAGAGGGGGAGAGGAAGAGAGAGGGAGAGGATTGATTGGGAGTCCCAGAGTTCAGACAGTTCTCACAGAGGCCTATATCTGTTTCCCCGAAAGCAGTGATACTAGGCGGTGATCTAAAATAAGAGCCAGTGTGGGTCGTGTGGGGAGAAAGTCTTCAAATTCTTCATTCTGTAAAGTGATAGTACACAATCAATCATGAATTATTAATGGACAAGTTAGAAAAATATGGGATCAGAGGAATGGTTCTGAAATGGATTAGAAGTTATTTGACACAGAGGCGTCAATTTGTGAAGTTGGGTGAATACCAATCGAGTGAGCTGGACATTGTATGTGGAGTGCCTCAGGGTTCTGTTTTGGGACCTAAATTATTTATATTATACATTAATGATATATGCAAGGTTTCTGATTTAGTGAAAGTGGTTTTATTTGCTGATGACACTACCATATGGGCATCGGGTGAAAACCTACAGCAACTCTCTGGACAGGTTTCACAGGAACTTGAGAAGATAAAGAAATGGTGCAATAGTAATATACTATCTCTGAATTTGGATAAAACTAAATTTATGGTATTTGGGAATCGTAGACTAGATAATGAACTTCAATTGAAAATTGGGGGAGCTAAAGATTGTGTATTTCCATAAGTGGGGTAAAACTATGGAATAATTTAAGCGCGGACATAAAAAATAGTAATAGAATTGACAAGTTTAAACATAAATATAAAGGTATGTGTCAATCAAGATATAAGCAAGAACAGGCTTAATGATTAATTAGATGGAACATTGTGGGTGTGGTGTATGAATGTTAATACTCTGTAATAATTCTTTAATATATTACTTGTGTGGTGTAGAACAAAATTATCTATGTAGAGACACTGCTTGCAAACCAATGATGGTAAGATGATGTCAGGGGGTAGGACTGGATAAGTCTGACTTCTTCCTACTCCATTCAAGCATGTACTAGGTATAAGCAAATTGATATTGGATTAGCATTTGTTGGATATGTGTAAAATTATGTGTGTTGACATATCAACTGTCTTTACATGCTTGAAAGAATAAATCAAATCAAATGTTGGTATGGGGGCACCATTTTCAGAAGTACACACTATATTTATCTGTATACATTCTTGTTTTGTTTCACTAAAAAGTTGCTTAAATCGTTGAGCTCTCACTGTACTGACTGTGGTAATTCAGAATGGATAACCTTACTGAAATTTTTTTAGTATATTACTTGTGTGGTGTAGAAGATAATTATCTATGTAGAGATACTGCTTGCAAACCAATAATGGTAAGATGATGTCATGGGGTAGGACTGGATAAGTCTGACTTCTTCCTACTCCATTCAAGCATGTACTAGGTATAAGCAAATTGATATTGGATTAGCATTTGTTGGATATGTGTGTAAAATTATGTGTGTTGACATATCAACTGTCTTTACATGCTTGAAAGAATAAATCAAATCAAAAATCAAATAGTATGGAAACTTTTGTATTTGTAGTATTATTGTGCATATTTACTCTGCCTGGACCACCACAACTGGTGGTTCAGTCAATGCAAAAGCAGGTTGAGGTGCTGAATTTTAAATCAGTTC